GGCGACTCCTGACGCGCTTCACCACGCGTCTGGCGAAGCTCGGTGTTCTCCGTCCAAAGTCACATGACTTCACTGTTCAAACTCGCCATATGGGCTTGCATTGCCTGAATCTGAGCCATGACCTCGTCTAGCTGGGCCTGAGACATGATGCGAATGCTACGCCTTTCGAGCAGGGGGAAGGCTGTGGTAAAGAACCGTAGGGGGCGCAAACGCTATCGTAGTTGTGTGAGCTAATAACTCTAGCTCACGGACAACCGCTTTGCAGCCCCGCAGGGTTAACCAAGCCTTGGAAATAAACTACCCTGAGAAAGTGGGGTGAACCAGGAAAGTAGCTCTGATACCAGATGTTGTGAATAGTAACTGAGAGTGCGCGGAATAATAATGATGAGTACAAGAATGATAGCCTAGCATTATATAGCGAGGCTGCTAGCTAGGCGACGAGCCCGGAGGGCTTGGTTGGGTACAGGCGCGATCGAAAGGATCGGAGGCGGCGCGGGCGTGCCTCGGGGTCGCGTCGGAAACGGACCGAGCCTGATCTTCCGAGAGTTCGGGTGTACGCGATTGCAGTACAACCCGGTAAGGAATAAAATTCCTTACATACCAGATCAAAGGGGAATGTAAGGAATTTCCATTCCTTACTGAATCGTCCACTACCGCGTACACCCGAACTCCTTGACTCGTCACGTTCGGCCTCAATTATCGGCCCAACCTTTCCCAAGTCGCGTCCGACACTGTCGCCACATTGCCGAACCTACCCACGTCCCGAGGTTATTGCCCTAGTACGTCTACTCCTATATAACCTCGTGCTTTCATTGCAATAGCGACCTTGTATTCTCACGATATAGTTCATTGACATCTTCTAAATCATAACAGCTCGTATCAGAGCCCGAGCTTTCCAGGAACCTTCCGTTTTCCCCGTATAATTAGTTAACGGTGGTCAGATGGGATTAACACAGCTGCACAGCAGTTTTCTTCGATCGTAAATATTTTTACGTCAACAACTACAACGTGTACGCTAGTTTCTGCCTCGTCCTAACCGCTATGGCCCCGCTAGACTCGACGGTTGAAGAACAGACGACCTCGACTGCTGCGAACTCTGCCCGGGAAACTGTGGACCTGCAAGCATTAATGGAGCAGTTGAATAATTTGACAAGCGTCATCAACAAGCTCCGCGATGAGAACCAACGACTTCGCCAGGCGCAGGAACGGCGTTCAGAGGAGCCGGGCGACGATGCACGAAGCGAGGCAGGTGAGCAGCAACCGTCGCCAGTGGAGCTGGCACGACTAGCGGCAACAGCCACACGCTCAACAAGTGGCGGCGTGAGATATCAGCAACCCACTCCTTTCGACCCAGCTAATAAAGACGTGACGGTGCGGTAGTGGATATTCGCCATGAATATCTATTTTAACGCGGCGGGCATCCGAGACGATCAGAAGCGGATCAGCCATGCGTTGACACTACTGCAAGGGGCCGCCCTACAGTGGTGGAAGGTCATCGTTGACTCAGCGGCAACTCGCACAGAAGGACAGCATAAGTGGTCCGAAGAATTCGGCGACGAAGACGAGGCAGATTTACTGTTTGGTGCAACCCACATTCGCACGTGGGCAACGTGGTGCGCAGAGCTTCGCAAGCGCTTTGAGCATGCTCCTGACTCAAACAAAGCGCGCGAGACTCTACGCATGTGGTAGCAGCTGGGATCTGTGTCCGACTACACCGCGTCATTCTTGACATTGGTAGATCGATGTGGCTACATGTACGAGTTGGAGAAGGTCGACAGGTACATGGGCGGGCTGAAGCCTGAGATACAGTACCAAATTAAACGGCAACGTCCTGCGAAGCTGTTACAAGACTTTATCCAACTCGCCGAAGCTGCTGATTCGCTCACGAAGCCGAGGACGAACTTCTACGACGGAGGTTACCCTCGAGAACAGTACTAGTGCGCCACGATAAAAGGGATGGACGTAGTGGATATTTACGCAGTTGCTCCGGGAAATACAAGACTGTGCTACCACTGTGGCCGACCGGGTCACATCATGAACGGCGTATTCCGAGATCTACTCGACAAGTGTGTTATCGTCTATCTTGATGACATTCTTATCTACAGCAAGATACAGGAACAGCACCTCAAGGACCTTGAGAAAGTTTTCCGGCGGCTTCAAGAAAACCGGCTCATCACGAAGGGCTCTAAGTGCGAGTTCCTGGGACATGTAGTGGGAGCGGACGGCATCAAAATCGACCCGAAGAAAATCACCACGATTCGCGACTGGAAGTCGCCAACGAATTTATAGGAGCTGCAGAGTTTTCTTGGGTTCGTTAATTACGTCCAGCGGTTTATCCCCAATATGGCCGGGATATGGCGTTAACTGACCTGCTGCGGAAGGGCACTTTGTTTGAGTGGGGGGAGAGACAGCAGACTGCTTTCGATGACCTGCGAAAATTTTTGACGTCGCCCCCGGTTCTCTGAATCGCCGACCCATCTCGACCGTTCAAAGTCTTGACGGACGCTAGCGATTTCGCCATCGGTGCGATACTGTTACAAGATTTTGGCAAAGGACTCTAACCAATCGCGTATGAGTTCAGAAAGTTGCAGGCAGCCGAGCGCAACTACCCCGTCCACGACAAAGAAATGCTCGCCATCGTGCACGCATTCAAGGTGTGGCGATGCTACCTGACGGGAGCCGACGTGACAGTACGGACAGACCATAAATCCCTACAGTACCTCCGCGCGCAGCCGAACCTCAATCCACAACAGATTCGCTGGCTGGACTTCCTCGAAAGCAACTTCCACTAAACCATCACGTACAAACGTGGGGTGAATAACATCGCCGACGCACTGACAAGACCGTCCGCCCACCTCGCCTCCATCATCATTGCAAAATCCAACCCACTGCTCACCGGACTATTTACCCACGACTACAGCACCGACCCCTTTTTCACCCGCAACCTCCACCAGCAAGCCACCACAGCCTAAGGACCCTACTTCCTAAAAGCCGGTACTGACCGTATCTGGGTTCCCGCCTACAGACTCCTCCGCGAATTACTTATTCAAGAAGTCCATGATTCTAACCTCTCCGGTCATTTCGGGGTTGATAAAACCCAGAAGTTACTTCACCGTTTTTATTATTGGCCTGATTCAACGTCTGATGTGCAGAGATACGTATCCGCGTGCCCGATCTGCCAACACATGAAGTCTTCTCGCCAGCAGCCAGCTGGACTGCTGCAACCGCTCGAGCCACCCCAGCGGCCGTGGCAACACATGACGATGGACTTCGTCACGGGACTGCCGGCCGCCGCCACGGGCAACGACGCCGTCCTCGTCATCGTCGATCGTCTGACGAAGATGGCACATTTTGCACCTTGTCGCACAACCATCACAGCCGAAGATACAGCGAAGCTTTTCATCTCCACCCTTGTTCGTCTACACGGCCTACCATCAGCGATCATCAGTGATCGCGACCCGAAATTCACGTCCAGGTTTTGGCAGGAGACATGGGCCCAGTACGGCACACGCCTCCAATTTTCCTCCGCCTACCATCCTCAAACCGACGGCCAGACAGAGCGAACCAATCAAACCATGGAGCAGCTGATCCGCACCAACTGCCCAGATCCTGCCCGGTGGGAAGAATTCCTGCCCATGCTGGAATTTTCCTACAACAATGCTCCATCTGCTACGACTAATCACTCGCCGTTTTTTCTAAACTACGGGATGGATCCGACCGTCCCGACGACTACCCACATCGACAACCCAATGCGACGTTCCCAGCAGTTCGTGACCAGTTTGCAGGCTGCCCGGGAAAAAGCGATTGAATTCATTTGCAAGTCAAACATAACCGCCCGACGCTATACAAACCTTCATCGCCACGATATCACGATGGCCGCAGGGCAACTAGTCATTCTCGACACGAAGAACCTTCGCCTGCCCCTGCCTTCCAAACTCCGACCAAGATTCTGTGGACCGTTTCGTATTGTCAAGATGGTGACACCTGTCACGGCGAAATTATTACTTCCGTACGAGCGGCGCATTCACGACGCCTTCCACGTCAGCCTGCTTCGTCCCTACGTCGCCAGCACGACCGCACTCGCACGACCAGCGGTTGCCCCTAGTATCCGGCCGATGGCAGAACCGACCCTTGAGCCTTTCCGGCTTTTGAGTCATCGCGTCCGCCTTGACACAACAGGTCGACACGTGGATTTCCTTGTTTGCTGGACCGATCGTACAAGCGAAGACGACACGTGGGTCACTTCCGACTCGCTTCAGGAACACTCGGTGCTCAAATCTTATTTGACCCGAAAAGGCGTTCCCGCTGTTGATCACCTTCCTTAAGAGGGGGGGTAGTGTAAGGAATTTTATTCCTTACCAGGTTGTTCTGCAATCGCGTACACCCGAACTCTCGGAAGATCAGGCTCGGTCCGTTTCCGACGCGACCCCGAGGCACGCCCGCGCCGCCTCCGATCCTTTCGATCGCGCCTGTACCCAACCAAGCCCTCCGGGCTCGTCGCCTAGCTAGCAGTCTCGCTATGTAATGCTAGGCTATCATTCTTGTACTTGTCATTATTATTCCGCGCACTCTCAGTTATTATTCATAACAAGGTACATGACTATTTCTAGTTACCCGCTTTCTACAGTGTGAGAATCGTAAAACGAGTCGGACGCATTGTTCCCCGCCCTTACTTCCCACACGCCCTGGGGTTTGTTCTTTTCTGAACCTACTCCCAGACGTGGATATTTGGTTCGGCACATCAATTGAACCGAGGATGACGCCTTATGTGACTCGTGGTTTGGCTTCACCCCGCTGGCTGCCAGCGTGTATTTGTGCAACACCGACTTCGATGAACTCACGGTTCGAACCCAGCAAGAGGTCTGGTAAAGTTGCAAAGCCGAACCAAGTAACAACAGCGTCGCGGAACCCTACAACGCGTACATCGTAGGAGGCTACCCTCCCTTCAGCTACCTTGTGCTTCAGCTACCTTTTGCATCGTGGTGCACCATGCGCTAATCTCACAATTCACGTGCCAGTTATCGTTCGCCACGGCTGCTACTCCAGTTAGCATCCTGCTGCTCCTCGCTTGGCTCGCAAGTCTTCCAAGGCTGTATTTTTATTCGGAGATTTAGCGCGTTATTGTTGTCGCAACGCAATACCGTCCTCCCGCAGCGATCAATCAGCTGGGATTCTTGCATGGCGCCTCGTCTCGAATCTTCCGCGTAAAATCGTTTTTTTTTTTTTGCGTTTTGTATGATCCGACCCGGGATCGAAGAGGCCGCCTGGAATTCTTCGCCGCTTATCTTTACTGGGGTCGTTATCAGTGCAATATTACTGAGGTGATTCTTCTTTTGAGTCGATATTTATGTGATTTTTTGTTGCAGGATCCCCTCACTCCACACGAGTCGTCCCAGTAATTCGATGCACCTTAATTGCTGCCGCTTATTAGAGAACGTTGGCTTCTCCTACGCAGAGGCGCCTTAGCTATCGCCACCCTAATTTATTACTCCCCATTGGAAGGGGCTCGCAGCGCGCAGCGCGCCGTGCAATCTCCCGGGTCTCCATGGCGGGATCGCGAGGAGCTGTGCGAATAGGAGGCGTCGCTTTCGCGATTTTCGTTACAATCACGGCGCTCCAAGCTGTCCACGTGGCGGGTGAGTGTCCCTCTCGCTTCAACTGGTCCACGTGGCGGTCACTCTCCGTTTTCTTAATCGCCTCAAAGTGGTACCTTTAAGTATTGTCCTCCTCGGCACCGCTTTCCCATGGCGGCTACTAGCATCTATCGCTCCGCACCGGCAGTTCAACTGGTTTTGAGAATTCTCAAAAACCAACTGGATGCTCCGCCCTCAGGTGCTTTGAGCGGTTCAACCCGCCCTGCGCAGGAAATTCAGCTGGGTGTTTCGCCCTCAGGCCGCCATGCGCGTCTCACTGTGTCCCTAATCTCCCCCTCCCCCCTCCCCCTCCCCTCTCCCCCTCCCCCTCCCCCTCCCCCTCCCCTCTCCCCCTCCCCCCTCCCCATCCCCTCTCCCCCTCTCCCCTCCCCCTCCCCTCTCCCCCTCCCCCCTCCCCATCCCCTCTCCCCCTCTCCCCTCCCCCTCCCCTCTCCCCCTCCCCCTCCCCATCCCCTCTCCCCCTCTCCCCCTCTCCCCTCCCCCTCCCCCTCCCCCTTCCCCCTCCCCTCTCCACACCCTCCTCTTCCTCCCCTCTGCACCCCTCTCCCCCCCCCTTCCCAATGGCAACTCTAACGTCCATCACCCTGCACAAGCGTCTCAACTGGGTGTTCCTCCCCCGGGTGTTTCAAGATACAATCTTCTTCCTCCCCTCTACACCCGTCCCCCCTCCCTCCCTCCCCCCCCCCCCCACTCTTCCCAATGGCAGCTGTAGCGAATGTGACTCTAGCGTCCATCACCCTGCACAAGCACCTCAACTGGGTGTTCCTCCCCCAGGTGTTCATTCTCTGCGCCGATGGTAACCGCTCCGACCTGCCCTTCTCTCCGCCGCTCAACGTGCAAGTCAACCTGACAGGGCAGGAGGACTGGCAGGTGAGCGGTGCTCTGACTGTATGCATGCAAGAGCCATGTTGACCCAACACTCCTAGACTAGACTAGTAGACTAGACTAGACTAGACTAGACTAGACTAGACTAGACTAGACTAGACCTGCCCTTCTCTCCGCTGCTCAATGTGCCCTTCAACCTGACAGGGCACGGGAAGGAGGGGCGCAAGTGAGGAAAGGTGCGAGAGAAGAAAGGGCGAGAGAAGAAAGGGCGAGAGAAGAAAGGTGCGAGAAGTTGGCCACACAGAGAGGGAAGCGGTGACAGGTAGAGGCCACCCACCCACCCAGCCTAGCCCAGCCCTTCCCATATACGCCTCGTGACTCACAACTGCCACCGTCTCTCCTCCTGCCCTGTCAGGTTGACTTGCACGTTGAGCGGCGGGGAGAAGGGCGGATTGGTGCGGTTACCACTACGAATCGCTACCAGCATCTCCCCTTGTTCTGCCCATTCCCTTGAGCCTCACTCACTTGCCACTCCTCCTGCCCTGTGAGGTTCACTTGCACACTCTGCGGGGAGCGGTGAAGGTCGGTGCAGTGCAGTGGAGTCACCATGAATCCCTACCAGCCCCTTCTCTTGTCTTGCCAGTATCATCACCATTTTCACCTGCCCCTTCTCTTCTCTTCTTCTCCCCCCACCCTCTCCCCCCCTCCCCCGGTCTATCCCAGCCCCTATTCCCAATGGACAGTGGCGGCTGCAAGTCGTGTGGCATATACGAGAAGGGCTGGGTGGCCGCGTCCCCCTACCTGCTCTTCCCTCTCTGCGAATCCAACTTCTCCTCCCCCAAGGGCCACTCGCCCGCTCCTGGTGCTGCGGGATTTGGGGAGCTGCTGCTGTCGGATCCAAAAGGGAGCATAGACCTGGTTCTCTCGTGCCCCGCTTGCATCCGAGACCTGGAGATGAGCACTGGAACTGGTGAGGCTGGAACTGGTGAGGCTGGAACTGGTGAGTCTGCAACTGGTGAGCACTGCCCTGTGAGGTTGTCTCTCTTCGCCCGCGTGTGTTCGGGTTATGGAAATGAGCACTGGAGAAGGTAAGTTCGGGTTCGGGCGTTCGACACATGGAAATGAGCTCTGGAATCGGTGAATGCTCTTCCCTCTCTTCCTGCTCTCCCCACTCCTGGTGCTGCGGGGAGTGTAGACCTGGTGCTTTCCTGCCCCCTGTGCATTCGAGACCTGGAGATGAGCACTGGGATTGGTGAGTCTCAATCGCTCTCTCTCTTTCTCTCTCTCCCCTCTCTGCAAAGCGAACTCCTCTGCACCCAAGATGCATTCGACTAGCAAACCTTCCCTTTCACATGCCATCCCCCCACTTCCCTCCTGCTTCCCTCCTGCTTCCCTCCCGCTTCCCTCCCGCTTTCCTCCCGCTTTCCTCCCGCTTTCCTCCCGCATCCCTCCCGCTTCCCTCCCGCTTTCCTCCCGCTTTCCTCCCGCTTTCCTCCCGCTTTCCTCCCGCTTCCCTCCCGCTTCCCTCCCGCTTCCCTCCCGCTTTCCTCCCGCTTTCCTCCCGCTTCCCTCTCACATCCCTCCCGCATCCCTCCCGCTTTCCTCCCGCTTTCCTCCCACTTTCCTCCCGCTTTCCTCCCGCTTCCCTCCCGCATCCCTCCCGCTTTCCTCCCGCTTTCCTATCGCTTTCCGCCCTCTTTCCTCCCGCTTTCCGCCCACCTTCCAATCCTTCCAGCCCCAACAGCGTAAAACTCCTCTCAAGGGCTGGGGGTGGTTGTGTGGGTGATAGCAGGCATGGCACGAATGGGTGGTGTGTGTTCCTCCTCACATACTCACACTTCCCTCCTCGCAACCCCCCACTACTCCCCTCCCCTCCCATCCTTGCAGCTCCCACGACAACTACCTCTCAAGGGCTGGGGGTGGTTGTGTGGGTGATAGCAGGCGTGACAAATGTTTGTTCCTCCTCACATACTCTCACTTCCCTCCTTGTGTTCCCCCACTACCGCCCACCCCTCCCCTCCATACAGCTCCCATGCCAACTACCTCTCAAGGTCTGGGGGTGGTTGTGTGGGTGATTTTAGGCGTGGCGCTAATGGGTGTGACTGTACTGCTGGTGACAACCGCGGTGTACCTCACTAAAGGGGGCGACCAGATCGTCGACGAATCAGAGCGCGCCAAGTTTATTGAGATGGGGGCCACGCATTCGGAGGAGCTCTATGCATTGGGAAGAGAGCCGCGATTCGCTTCGGATGTGCTTAAAGGCGACCCTGATGATTACCTATAGGGGGGATATCAAAAGATACATGTAGGAAGTGGTGTGTGGCTAGACCAAATAAGCTCCGTATGCATTTGTTAACGGAGTTACGGAGGCAGACCTATTCAAGGCGCCTCAAATCAACATTTTTTAGCTGTCTCCAGGGATTCCATTGAAAGCATTGATATACGTACATGCAAAATGGCATGTGGCTGTTAGAAAGAGAGAAATGATGGACTAGTGTGAGAAACCTAGAACATGTGCCTGTTGGGGTTGTACTCACTAGAAGCACACACCTAGGCTAGCCTATAACTTCTACATACAGCATATGTATAAGTTGACACACCCCTTAGGCTAGAGAAGGGGTGGTGCTAAGCAAGAAGCACACATCTCAGGGTGGCACTACTAGTCCAACCACTGAGGTAGGGGTCCTGAGACTAGTCAGCAAGAGTACAAGCAAGACTAAGGCAAGCCAAGGCGGCACTACTAGTCCAGCCACTCGAGGTAAGGCCACAAGGCCAGTCAGACACATATATATAATAGAGAGTACACAATCAGGGTCCTAACAGGTGAGTGGCTACAGGAACAAGACCAACCTGTACACAGTGCCGCTGATGATCTTTAGGCGCAAGCGCCTTCGTAAAGATATCAGCTGTGTTGGCACCTGAGGCTAAGTAAACTACGCGGGCCTGGCGACGCTGCTGTAGCTCGCGCAGGAGGAGGTACCGCAGCTGGATATGCTTCGCTCTGCCCAGTCATCAGGTACATTAGGCAACCCACCAGCTCTGCGTAGGGGCCGCTGGGCTCTACTGGCTCCTCAGGAACGGGGCGTAGAGCCCATGGTCTACAGGTAGAGGTGTGGGCTGTGCGGAGGAGAACTGAAGACCGAACCTCTGAAGGACCTGACGCACCAAGTGTGACTGTATCAAAGTGATGGTGCGTGCTGCTCTGTCCCTAGAGATCTGCAGGCCAAGATAGCGACGCAGCTCTCCAAGGTCAGTGCAGGTGTGTCTCTTCAGCAGCTCGGCCTTCACAGAGGCCAGTGCGTCCCTGTCAGCAGTGGCGAAGACCAGGTCGTCTACGTAGACAAGGATGTAGAACGGAGTCTGGCCGGAACGCACAAACAGTAAGGGGTCAGCAGAGGACGGAAAGAACTGCAGGTCTGCTAACGTGGCACGCAGCGTGTCGTGCCACTCGCGGGGAGCCTGGCGCAGGCCGTAGACCGGGCGCCTGAGAAGCCACTGGATCCCAGGGGGGAAGGTGCCAATGAAGCCCTGTGGTCGGCGCAGGTAGACCTGCTTGTGTAGGCTGCCCTGAAGAAAGGCAGTAGAGAATTCGAGGGAGTGAAGCTCGTAGTCGCGCTGTGCTGCTACGTGTAGCAGCGCCCGAAGAGTGGTCATCTTCGGGGTCGGGGCGAAGGGCTGGAAGAAGTCAACCCCCTCGCGCTGGCTGAAGCCTCTGGCCACGTAGCGCGCCTTGAAGACAGGTGGCTCTCCTGGGGGGCGCTTCACCTTGAAGAGCCACCGACCATCGACTACGTTCACCCCAGGCGGGGGAACTGCGTCGACGTAAGTGCCAGTGGACCTCCAAGATGCCATCTCCTGCTCCATGGCAGCTATCCACTGAGAGGCCCAAGGTCCCGAGGTGGACTCAGCGTAAGTGCGAGGGGTCGGGATGTCGAAGGCGTCTGGGTCACCCTCTGGGACTAGGAGCATGGATCAGAGATGGGGAGCGGCCTCGGACAGGAAAGCAAGCTCATACTGCCGGTCCTCTAGAACGTCACTGCCAAGGTCAGGTGCACCCCCGACGGACGGAGGACGGGCAGGGTCAGAGACCAGAGCGGTAGCGTAGTCAAGGCGGCGGGTAGAGGCGAAGTCAGCGACAGCCGCGACAAGCTCGTCAAGGCGCGAGATAGGAACAGACGGGTCTGTAACAAGACAGGCAAGAACCCGAGGGACAAGGGGACGAGCAGCACGGAGGTAGTCAGACAGCGGGGGAGGTGCAACAACAAGCGACGAGGGAGGTGGCGACGGGAGGAGGGGAGGACGAGACGAGTGGGAATGGAGCAACATAGGGTGGGAGCGCAGGACAGGAAAGACGGGACAAGCACGTGAGGGACGGCGAGACCAAACGTGGGACGGAGGTGTAGGGTCAGGAGACAGCAGAGGGGATACAAAAGGGGAACGAGGAGGAAGACGGGCCGGAGACGAGTCTGGCGGCGGGAACACATGGCCGGAGACAGAAAGGTGAGAAGGTGGTGGGGGAGACACTGGCGAGCGGTCGGGAGAGGGAAGGCCGAGCAGGCAAAGAGCGGAGACCGGCGGCGACAGCTGCGGCTGCTGCTGCGGCGGCTGGTGCTCGACCTGCGGACCGGCAGGGGCACGACGACCACCGGGAGAACACTCAACGGCAGCACCCCCAGAACCAACACCCCCAGAGCGAGAACCCCCTCCAGCAGCAGCGGCACCCCCAGGCCCGCCGGGACAGACCACGCCAGGGGCCGCAGGACAAACACCCTCCTCAACGCCAGCACCCCCAAAGGCCAAGAGCGGCAGCGGCAGCGGCGGCGGCGGCGGCGGCGGCTGCGACAGCGGAGGCGGAGACACCGAGGAAGGGGGACGCGGCAAGGACGGGCCAGGGGGACCACCAGAGTCAGCAGACTCCTCAACGGGGACAACCGGCGGGAGGGGAGTGACATGGGAGACACCGGACGGGGCAGGACGAGGCGGGAGGGGAGCATGGACTACCGAGAGAGAGGGAGCAAGGAACAAGGGGGGGGGAACCGGGAGACCTCGGTGAGGGAAGCGACGGTAGAAGGAGACAGACTCGTCAAAGGTGACGTCACGAGAGTGAAGGAAGCGGTGAGATTGCTGGTGGTAGAACAGCCAGTCAGACGAGTCCAGGGGGAAACCGAGGAAGACACAGGGGACAGTGCGGGCAGTGAGCTTGTCCGTGCCAGAGGCACGAACGTGAGCAAGGCAACCCCAGACGTGGAACGCAGACGCGTCACCGGGGGACCCGGTCCAAAGGAGGGTCGGCGAAACCTGCGGATGTGGGAGCGTGGCCACAAGTTGAGCTGGTGAGCAGCGTAGCGGACAGCGAACGGCCACAGAAAATGGGGGGCATCGGCATGAAGCATGGAGGTACGAGCAACCTCCATGACCAAGCCGATGCGGCGCTCAGCAACCCCATTCTGCTGTGGCGAGTCCGGCAAGGTGTACGACTGGGTGATGCCCTCCGCACGACAGAACTGTCCAAGCCGACCAGAGGCGAACTTGCCGCCACAGTCAGAGTGGAGACACAACACAGGGAGACCGCGGTAAAGACGCGCAGCCACAACCCACGGGAGAAGAACGTCGGGCACGTCGGCCTTCCGCTCCAGGGGAAACACCGTGGTGTAGCGCGTGTAGTCGTCGACGAGCACAAGAAAGTAGCGCTCACCGCGCAGTCCGGGAACGGGGGCTGAGCCCCAAACGTCCAAGTGCAGGGTCTGAAGGGGGGCAGTAGCAGGACGCAGCGAGGAGGAGTGAGGAGCACGGCGAAGCCGACCCTCGACGCAAGGCGTGCACGGTGGCGTAGTCGTGGGGGGAAGTGCGGGGAGCGACTCGGGGAGGCCTAAGACAAGACCGTGTTGAGACATGTAATGTAGGCGCGGGAGAGCAGGGTGACCTAAGCGGTGGTGCCACTGAAGGGACGGGTGTGTGAGGGACCGACACGAGCAAGCTGCAGCGACCTGGGAGGACGCACCAACCGGGAGGGAAGCGGTGTCGAGGGTAAACAGACCGGACACTGGGTCCCGGGGGAACGTCGCAAGGGGGGAACGTGAGACTGCCTCGGTGCAGACAGCGAACCGCTCGTGCCCAGGGAACGTAGTGGTGACGCCGAGGTCCTGAAGACGGCCGACACCAACCAGGTTCCTGGAGAACGAGGGAACGTGGAGGCCTGTAAGAGAGCCTGAGGGAACGGCTGGACAGGGAAGGGAAGTGGAGCTACGAGCGACGACAGGACATGCGCTGGGGTCAGCGAGAGCGACAACAGCAGGCGCAGCAAGCGGCGTGAGCATGGAGCGGTCACGGAAGAAACAGGCAGAAGCACCGGAGTCGAGAGTGAAGGATAGCGAGGCAGTAGCGGAGGCCGGGAACGGAGCCGGTGCAGAAACTAGGCTAGGCAAACTAGGCAGTCCTATGCCTGACGCAGCAGGGGAGGCTAAGCTACACAAGGGTGCTACGCCTAAACTAGAGTACACTGGGTAATAAGATCCAGCAACACTAGACGTGTCAGCATACAAGGCATGCAAAGCAGCACCTATCTGGTCCATATCTAAATCAAAGATCGGCACGCCCTGGCGAAGCAGGCTGTGCCAGTCGGGGAGGTCTAGGGCCGGGCCAAAGCGACGACGAAAGAGATCGTCCAGGCGGCGGAAACAGCGGGTAGTCGCGTGCGGGCGGCGGCACAAAGTGCCGCGGAGGGGCCCGGTCTAAAGCTGGTACTGGCAGGTCACACCAACGGAGCTGCCGGTAGACGCCAAGCTGCGCGGGCCGCCACCACGGCCACCACCTACGGAGGTGCCGGGCCAACCCGGGGGGAGGCGAGCCCACGGCTGGGGCTGGGACAGCTGCTGCGACGACTGCGACTGCTGCGACGGCTGCTGTGGCTGCTCCTGCTGCTGGGGCGACGGCTGCTGCTCCTGACTAGCTGAGGCAGTCCCCTCAGTAGAACCACTGTCCCCGGTACCCCCACTACTACCACCAGCTCCACCACCACGCCCTCCCTGGCGGCCACGACCGGCGCGGCGCGAGCGCTGCTACGGGTGTACCGCAACTGCAGTCTTGGTTAGAGGGGTCGCAGTGGCGACCGCAACCGAAATGTCAGTAAACGGTCACTGGGGGGGGGCACAGCCGTGAAAGATAGAGACTGCCAGCGCACCGCTCGACTGAGCGATAGTGCGCTGGCGAGTCTCGATCTCGGTCGGGGCGGTGACAAAGGCTGGCAGGGTGAGATCACACGGGTGCTGGCTAAGGATGTGGTCGCGTGCACTAGAAAGGCGGTCAGGCAAGCGCATGGCGATAAAGTAGAGGGTCATGCAAAAGGGGGGAGGGAGCGCAGTGAGCTGGGCAGCAGTGCTAGCAGTGCGGTAGCGAGACTCTAGGGCGCGCAGGTGAGTGGCAAGGTCAGCAACAGTAGGGAAGGAAGCAA